AACTGGCACTAATTTTATATTTCTACATTCTATGCCAACACAACAGAAAGTGTGTTGGATTTTAGATCCCATTATTTCAGACTGCACATTTTAAAGGATTAATGTGTACTTTGCTTCTGTGTTTAAATGACTTAATTCTACCAACAGTCCCGGTACATTGCAATTTCTCTGTTGCTGGACTTACTACAAGTTCATAATCCCTCAATCTTAAAACCCAAACAATTCCAAAACCTAAAAATATCACCAAAACTTGGTACCAACAATAATTCTGCAGCAAAATCAGACCTAAACTGACATGATGCTATTTATAGTTTTATTTGATTCCACTTAGATGAATATATTTTACCGAAAAGTACCAACAGAGTAACTAGGGATTTTAAGTAACAGTACTATGTACTGTATTACCTTTTCAAAATTGCAAATATTCTGAATTTAAAACACAGCTAGTTCAGGTTAATATACACAAATGTATTTCCCAACACTGGCCACTGAGAAAGCCTAGCCCAAGATACGCTGGGAATAAGCAAACCCAACATTCACATTTGGGTCTAAATACCATTATCCCATAAAAAGAACCAAGGCTCTAGAAAAGTTACAGATTCCAGAGCTAGGACAGGAGTAATACAAGATGAATCTAATGGTGTCGGAAAGTAAGAAAGTGCTTTAAAAAAATATGTTGAAAGGCATAAGAATCTGATTGCAGCTCCTAAAGGCCAAAATTGGAACAGTCAGAGCAATAAAATAAATGCTATTATTGCTCAAAAGTCTATTTTAAAATTTATTTATTTATTTTGGTGTCACTGAGACTGAACTGAGCTATATCTCCAGCCCTATTTATTTATGAAGGTAGGGTCTCCTTATGTAGCTCAGGCTGACCTTGAACTCTATATTGCCCAGGCTGGCCTCAAACTCAGTGATCCTCTTGCATCAGTCTCCTGAGTGCTGAGATAGGCATGTGCCACCACATTCACCCTCCTTTGTTATGTTTTAGGTACAGGGTCTTGCTATGTCACTAAGTTACCCAGGCTCGATTCAAACTTTTGATCCTCCTGTCTCAGCCTCTGAGAGTACTGGGATTACAGGTATGCACCACTATGTGTGGTTTATAATCCTAAAGTAATCATAATGTAAGGAATAAAAGAAATGCCTTTATGTTCATATTGATGTTAATGAAATGAAAAAAAGAGAGATAAGAGAAGGCTCCTCCTTACAGAAGAATGCTAATGAATAAACACTTAAGAATGACATAAAAGAAAATCACCAGGGACAACACAGTAACAATACCTCAGGCAATATCCACTGGTAAGTGTGAAATCACTGCAATGTTTAAAAAGGAACAGGGTATCTGCAGGGCATGATAAAGGATTAATCCTACCCTAGCACGTGGAAGTGATCTGTAGGGCCCTGGAATGTCATTCCTGATAAGTGTGTCCTTGTTTTCCTGGGGCACTTGGGCCAGTCTGGACAGTTTTTCACTAACAATGGGACATACAGCAAAAGCTTTGGATTGTACAGTGACAACTCAACCTCTAAAAGGGCTGGAGTCTCAAATCAACCAGTCTACACAACTGAGATCCAATAGCAACCCTGTACAAGCCTTGAGTGAGGTTCCCTGGTTGGTAATGCTGTGTGTGTTGTCATGTGCTGGGCAAAGCTTGCACTGTCCACATTGCCTCAGGAAGACACTGTGAAGCTTTAGCTCAAAATTCTTGTGGATTCTGTCCTACGTCCTTTCCTAGCCTGGCTTTAACCTTTGTCCTCTCACTGCAATAAACCACAATGATTATGACAACAGCTTTTTGTGAGTTTTACCAGTTCTAGAGAATTACTAAATCTAGGTATGCTTAGGGCCTCTGAACTTTGCATATATTCTCAAAGTATCTACCTCAAGATATGTACTGATTACAAGGAATTAAAAAAAAGACATTTATAGTGAAAAAAGCTGACAGGCACCACCTTAAAGCCCAGTGATCATTGTCAACATGCTTGTACCTAAGGGTGATACAGTAGAGAGGGTCCCTCACTTCTAGCTCCAACAGACCCTTATACCCAGTTTGATCATGAGGAATGACATACATGCAGGGAAGGCCCACTGAGTGAAGGACTTGTCCTCAAGAGTATTATGACAGGCAAAAGAGGGTTGAGCCTCTAATACAAGCTGGAGAAGACAGAGACCTAAGAAGGACAGAACACATGCAGAAACCTAGACAGGCCTGGGACATAGAGGGGGTTGGAGTATGCCTGGTCTGTCAAAATCAAGTCTGTCATCAGCTCATAGCACTGAGACCATGGAAACTTTCAGCTTTGACAGATATCCCAGAATCTACTAGGGTGGAGAATGAGCATCACAGATGGGGACTCGAAGGTATAACAATATACACAGAACATCACCACTCATGGCAGCAAATTTTCTGTAAATGTGAAATTACAGCAAATAAAATGTCAGGGGAAAATCAGCTAACCACAAAGTATTAGAAAAGAGATTGTGGCCTTTATGTGGATTCCTTCCTCTCTCTATTTTTTTTTTTTTTTTTGAGACAAGGTCTCACTATGTAATTCAGGTTGGCCTCGATCTCACAGCAATCTTCCTGCCTCAGCCTCCCAAGTGCTGGGATTACAGGTGTGCGCCACCATACCCGGCTCCTTCCTCTCTTGATTGCATAGTTATTTCAAGAAGGACAGGCAGCAGAAGGTAAGTTTTCACCCTTATAGGGACATTTCCACATTCAAAGGGCAGAACCCTGGCAGGTACCATGTTCCATTTTATATAACAATTTATAATGTTTAAATTAATGAGTACATTTAAAATATTTTGATCACTATTGGAAAATGCAAAGAAACCAAGTCTTATTTGAAATCCAATAGGGAAAAAGATTCAAACATCCTGAATTTCTCATATGAACTATGCCTTAAAGGTAAAGAATTGAGAAGTTGCTTTTTACACAGTGCTGTAGCTAATAAACAACAACAACAACAACAACAACAACAACAAAACATGTGACAATTGAATTAAGAGTAGCATTTCTCTGCTATGCCCAAGGAATTAATGGAGCCAGTCACAGGCCATCAATGGCAGAACACTAGAGCGAGGGGCCTTCAAGAGTCTAATACAGTGATGGGCAAACCTCTTAGTTTTCAATGATACAAATAGCCCACTGCCATACATGTGCCACAGGTTCATGACCACTGGCCTAATACCACTTGGGAAGGAGTTTTACCAGCCCCTCCTTTGCCTGCCCAAAATAATCAGATCAAGCCTAAACTAATTATGGGAAACAATAAAAGTAGAGGAATCTATCTATACCACAATGATGTGATGGGTTAAAGTCACACCAGCAAACTGGACAGACCAAACACAGTTGCTTCAACAAACACAAGGAGAGATGGAGGGAGAACTACAGCTTTAAAACAGACTTAGAAATACAGTATGTCAACCAAAAGAAACTTAAGACCCTTACTTGGATTCTGATTCCAATAGGCGGTATACATTTAGAGCACTTGAGACTGAAAATCTGAACATTTATTAGACCTGGATATTAAGGAAACACTGTTAATTTTTTTAAAAAGTGAAATATGTGGCTATGATTTTTAAAGTGTCCTTATTTTTTAAAGCTGACATTTACATAAGCAACAATTTAAAAAATCAAACCATCTCTATAGATACTACTCCTAGGCAATGCAATGAATGTTAACAGGTACAGTGGTACCCTGGTTTACGAACTTAATTTGGTTTATGATTTTGGAGAAGACAGCTGCATTTGTGTTTGTGCAGGGAAGATGGCCATGGTCCTGTTTGCTATCCAATGAAGAGTATGAGAATGGAAGCAACTTTTTTTTGTACTGGGGATCAAACTCAGGACCTTGCACTTGCGAGGCAAGCGGTGGCACCACTGAGCTAAATCCCCAGCCCTGGAAGCAAAATTTTGCAGAACAATTTTGTTTGCAAGGTGAATGGTTTGGTTACTATACTACTATGTAGCTGAATGTTTGCAATATGCTTTTTCCTTCAAATTCATGATTATCTACTAGTTTCAATAAAGGTATGTGCTTTCTTTCATGAGCTTTGCCTAGTATGTAGTGAATTCTTTCTATAGACTTCCGCTACCACACTTGCTCTGTTACCTGTAAGTTCTGTGTCAGTACTTTGTGAACTGCTGAGGTATCCCTTCTTAAATTACAACAGTGACACATACAACATTCAATATTTGTTTTAAGGGGAATATTTGTTTTTAAAAAAAATGCTTAACAGAAAATAGTTATTTTAAATAAGAAGCTGTAGCATTAAGAATAGAGAGTAAGACATAAAATTGTATTGCTGAATCTACATACCTACTTAAAAAATTTAAAGATGAAAGAGTACTGATACAAAATAGCATATTGAAAAATGTTAATATTATACAAGGATTTACCAGTTTCTTTTAAGAACTGCATCCTACTATTTCATTTTCAGGAGGGACAGACACATAAGGCCACAAACTGCCAGGTTTTAGTTGATCCATGCAGTGTATTTTAAAAATCAAATAATCTGCTGCTACTAGATTTTAACATAACTCTAAACTGGAGTCCACAATGGTATAGGACAGAGTTGGCTCCATATACTGCTGCCCTTGGAGACAGTAGCAGCCCCATCCCTAGTCTACTCCACATCAAGGTCAGGGCTAGCAGCAATATAACATGAGGTCACTCCTCTGCTTTTCTGATACCTGGCCTGCTTTGCTCATTTACCATAATAGCTTTCCATGTAACTGACAATTGTGTTTGAATCCCTTCCTTTCACTGAGTCTTTTTTAGGTACGTAAAGCATGTTTATACATGCAGGGAATTTTGTTACTATTTTTTAAGTTCGCATAAAACTAAGGTGTTGATCAAAGGGCATTTTGAACATAAAAGTAAAATAAAGAACACAGAAACATCTGTTCTGTGTGCTTCCTCTGCCTGTGACTGCGACATAAGAGAACTCAGCCCCTTGTTCACCAGCACTGCAGCATACTCGGCCTCACCTGCATCGCTCCCAGTTCCTTTCTGCTTTTTTTCCTTGGCTAGTTGAATGGCTCGGTAATCAGTTCTTGCTGAGCCCCCACTTTCCTGAGACCAAAGAAAAGCGTATCAGTCACTTGATCTAAAGAGCACAGGAAGGGTAGCAAGGGAATTACAGAAACGTCCTAAGCCTGCCTCTGGAACATTTTAGAGTTCAGTAATCCAGCAAAGGCACACAGAACCAAATGCTACAACCAGTTACAGTGATAACTAAACAAAATCAGATTTGGAACAATATGTAAATATTATTATCTAGAGGAGTTTATTCCTCCAAAGTCTAAAACATTAAAATATTTTATACAGAAACTATTACAAAATGAATTGCCTATCCCCCTGCTTTTTCAATTGCCTAGTTTTCCATTGAATCCCCAGGATTACATTACTACAGCAACACCGAAAGGTTTTCCATACTATCTGCACCCTGCATGGCAGGCCTTGGGCAGTGCTGCCTTCTCTGTTCACTGCAGAGGCCTCTCTGGCAGCAGCCACTACACTCCAAAGTCTTATAGACCAATACAGTAAGTATCCTACCAGATTCAGAAAATTAACGAGGGACCCAAATGAACAGTATTTAAAAACAGTAAACTGTTATATATTTGTGAATGTTTCATAAAAAAGTTTAATACTTATCACTACAGAGAGAATAACCCTCTACAGCTCATGGCATACCTGCAACCCATTCACCACACACCATTTGTACTCAGAGAAGCAAGGGAGCCCAACTTCACACAGCTAGCAAGAAAATGAACAAGGGGTTAGGACTGAGGTCTTGCTGGCTTCTCCACCTCCACCCATAGTTGTGGCTCTGGAGATGCAGTGAGGTACAAGAACACTGCTGTTTTCCAAGGCACCAAATGCCAAGGGACTAACTTTCCACTTGGCTGACCTATGGCCACCTCCCATCCATCCTTGTCCAGTTACCAGTTGCTTAGCCATTGCTGTGGCACCCTAAATAGATGCTGGCAAGTGTGGCTCTGCCACCAACAAGCAAGACACCAGAAATGGAGAAACAGAGACTGCCTTCTCTCACACTGAAAGAAATAAAAGTTGGCTCCATGGTAGATCATTTCCTAACGCCCTCCCACTTGATCCTAATTCAGAAGATTTAACATTTTAAGCTATAGTAAAATAAGATTTAACACTTGAATAACATGTCTCCAAATTTCTTGTGCTGCAAAGAAAAAAATCACTTTTGCAGATGATCACTTCCATTGTACACTGAAGAAAGTCAGACTCTCTACCAGGAATCTTTAAATTATTTTAAATTAAATTATAATAAATGCATAATTGATATAAATTAAAGTGAAACTGTCCAGCCTCAAAATTGGAGTATTATTAACCTTGAAGAACAAAGACTCATAAACCACTCCCTTTTTCCCCCTTAATTATAATTTAAAACAATGTTCTGGCATGGTTTTAAAGTTTCGATTAAACTTTTAAAGGTAGTTTATGCCACAATTTCTCCTCTTCTAGGACTTGTAATTATATGAAAAGCACAAAGGTAAAACATTTCAATGTTATGAAATGCCTCAAGTTTTTCAACAAAATAAACACATTATCACAGAGTCACAGAAGTCAAAAGGACCTTAAAAATCATCTGGCCAATCCCCTTAATTTAGAAATAATTGAGAATTTAAGGATCAAATTGGTTAAATGATTTGCTCAAGGTCAGTTCTAAGACTCAAGGCCAGATTCAGATTTTCAGACTTGTAGTCCAGGGTTCCATCCTTTTGCAGACCAGTAAGAAATTGCATAGAAAGGATTAATCCAGAATATCCTCAAAACTGAGTGTAAGAGAAGTGAGCTATATGGTGGTGACTGAATAGAGTGCTTCATACCAAAAAGAGGTTGCCAGTGCCTGCACTGAGCTCTGTGTCCTTCTGGGTACCATGCCTTTCTATGGGGCTGGAGAACACAGACCGGCTTGGCCCTAGGCTTCCCTCCTGCTGCTCAACCATATCAGGGAGAGGAGGTGAGTCTCGCTCCACCTTGATTGAAGTTATAAGTTCTGGGGCACTGGCAGTTTCTTGGGGAGTACGTGAAGAGGTTGATGTGGTGAAATGTGCTGCTAAGCTGCTGCTGGAAGTCAAAGCAGGTGGATCTTGACTTAAGTTCTTCAAGGGCAATGCCACCAAACAGCCTACCGTTCCTGGACTCACAGCCTGCACATCGTCCACACTGAAGCTGCCTGGCTGAAGAACTGTGGCCGCTGTCCCAAGAACAAGAGGGCTATCCACACCTGGATGAATATCACCGTGAGCCACCAAGACCAGGGGTTCCATGGGCCCTAAGGAGTTCTTATTAGGAGGGAGGTTCTTTCCCAAAGAGGAGCTCACAGAAGTGACATCAATGGTTAGGATTCCAGAGTTCAGTGCCTCATCTGGCCCACTTGCTGAACTACTACTGTTGGCAGGTGCATCAGAGAAGAGTGCTGCTATATCTATGTTAGTGAGCTCACTTTGTCCTGGGTTGCTCAGTTCACTGCTTGGTGTGAGAGAACTTGGAGCTTCTGGTTGAGGTACAAGATCTGCAAAAAGAATGAATACTCATTATTTATGACCTCAGAAGTCTTAGGAAATCTTGCTTATATTACAGATGTTAGACGTAACCTCTAAGGCCACATTTATTATCCTCTCTGGAACTTGATGGCTGGAACCCACTACTAGCACACTGTTAGTGACTAGCTGATAGACACCAAAGGAAAAGACAGCTTCCCAAATGTCAGGGTCTTAACATACATGTCTCAAATCATCAAGCAGACAGAGATTTCTCCAGAGGAAATGACGGGAGAGAGATTAAATAATGTTTCCTAAAGTCCTGTTAACTGGTAAAAAACAAGGTAAGATTTGATTCTAGTTTCTCTGGTCTCAAAGCCTGCATTTTTTCCTATACTACAGTAGATAACCAAGAAAACTGCAAAATGCTGTATGGCATAGTCTTCAGAAGCCAGTAAAATAAACTCTCATTGTCTGGAGTTATTTTTGTAATCAGCTTATATCAGCCCATGTCTTGTCAAACTCTGTGCCCTGTTCTACAACTACCTGTAACTCCAAAACTGATTTGAGCTATCTGGGTGTAGTCAAGGAGAACAAACTTAGCTGCCTGGTTCTAGGCTGAGATCAAAGCTCTAGCTCTAGGTAGACACCCAGAGTTTGAATATCAGATCCTCCCAGGTGCTCTGCTGCCCTAGATGGAACTTTCTTGATGTCTTCTCCTATTTCGTCTCCTCTCCCCTACCCAGCTCCATCACATATGCAACCTCTAATGGCCCCCAAGCCAGGATTATAATCTTGAGGGTGGAGAGCCCATTTAACCTACCTCTGTGCCCTCAGCACCTGGCACAATTCTGGGGCCCTTTGCAACATGTAAAGATTATACAGAAATTGGGCTGGGGATTTAGCTCAGTGGTTCTGCTGCCTGCCTTGCAAGCACAAGGACCTGAGTCCGATCCCTGGTACCAAAAAAAAAAAAAAA